AGTGTGCCGTCAGACTCCTTAATTACCTCACTTACACCTGCTTTCCTTGGTCCTGTACTCCTAATTAAACGAAAAAGATTGTGACTATTACCAATAGCCACAGCCTTCTCCATCTCTCTACACTTTCCTACCCACCACTTCTCGCGGTCATTCATCAGACTCTTGATGAGCTGGCGCTTAAGGGATTTGCGCGCTTTATCGTATCTTGAATCCGAGGGAATGGCTCTGCGATCGTCCCGCCGATCTAAGGATTAGGAGTCGCATTTTGGTCATAGCGGAAGCGATCGGAATCCACCTACATAATCCCCCCCCGCGCTATGCTCCCAAAAACAATTCGTGAAAAGTGGCTTATTACTAGCTATCCGAACGGACGGTGAACTCCTGGGATTTCACTGAATCTACAGCTCATGTCGCTGGCGCCAGAACTGAATCACCAACTGTTCACACCTCGCCGTCAATCTTCGGACATGGGCAGCACCGATGTGTGTCATTCGTGAAGCCGGCTCATTCTTACGCAGAAGAGTCGCATACATTTAAGTAAGAATGAACCCTAGTTCGGCACAGAGCCAGGCACAGGTCTCAAATCCCCTGTTTGTTTTGTCCCCGTAATGTTCAACTCTTATTTCAACGGTGCGTAATAATGGAAACATCGATTATCGGAAGCCTCGAAGGTTTCAAGGGCCGCAATGTACATCCATTTCGGTCGCCGCATTTTGACCGCTGCAGTGGCGAATTGAAAAGAGATAAATTACCAAAGCGGAGTGTTACTAAGATCTCAATGCTTATGTCTGTGTAAAAAATTGAAGAGATGTAAGAACGTTGCTGTTCACAATACTCATCCATGTTTCTAATCGTGAGGCTGGTGCCGAGGTCCGCAACGGACGGGTTCAACATTACCCAAAGGACAAAGTCCTCTAGGTCACAGCTTCAAACCAGATCACTACCAAGCCTTATCCTACTACTACCTATGTAGTTAATCAAGCGTTACAGATCAGGAAATTTTATTCGCTTGTATGCGTACCGTGACAAAGGACACAGATAGCAATGAGTGGAGTGCTATTTAAGGTCAAAACAAAAGGCATTAACGCATTAACGAATACGAAACGTACCCATCAGTTTAGCCGCTGTCGAGGCTCCAACCAAAATGCTAATATTCGGTGCAATGAAAGACATGCGGGATTCCACATAAGTCAGCATAGTGACACGCATATCGTGCAACTCAATAGCCATTTGGCATGCCTCCTCTATTCGAGCTAGTTGGTCTGGCTTGAGCGGAGATCCTTGGGTTGTGGAGGCAGTGACGGAGACTACCATAATTGTGGCTGGAGTGAGAAACGGAGATAGCAAATCTGTCTGTTTCGAACGCTCGAGGATATCATTTCCCAATACCTGAAATTGAAACAGATTGTAAAACAATGGTGAAGCAATTACGAAGGCACATAAGCATACATACGTACAGTTCAAAGCTACTATCGATAGCACTGGAACGAGGTAAAGAATCGACAGGCACAGGTTTGCAGTAATAATCAGTTCCCAAAATAGACCACATGCCAAATTAGTGGTAAATATTTGTGTCAAAAGTCAGTTCTTCAGGAAGTGCGCTCGATATATTTTCTAAGTGCACCGGACACAAATCACATTTGGGACGGGAATCACAGGTGTTTATATATACGCTTGAACCAATCAGATTGTCCGGTTTACAAAACTAAAGTCTTATATGGACCAATCACAAAAAACGCAATTGATGCGGTAAAACAAACGATCAATGTAAACAACATTTTCCAACACAGATCGGAGAACACACGATCAACAACTTCCCAACACAATCTGGTTGAGTTTTCATGGTGGTTTGCCTGTTAGCTTTACCAAAGTTGGCGCCCAAGTGAGAGAAATGCCCCCGCGAACCACAAAATCTCGTATATATATATATAGATTAGATTAGATTTTACTACCATACCATAAGTATCATTACTTTCGTGAAACTTACCAATCCGGAGCGGATTATTGTTAGCTTATTGACTGCTGGACTTAGCGTGTCTAAACGGGTAAGACAACACCTGTTCCACATTACCGAGCATTCCGGAATAAATCACATCAAACAGTTAGTTCGTCTACAATACAACGAGAAGACATGCAGGACTTGTCTACCTAAATGGCAGACATCCGACATCACAGGCGTGGGCTCCACGGATCAACTAGATGGGTGGTATAAATTTAGCTAGAGTAGGACAAATGANACAAACGAATCAATCTTCACTTACGAGAACTGTTTTGAGGTAGTCCAAACAGGTGAGAACCAACGATTCCAGTTCGGGAAAGCGTTTCGAGTAGAGGTCACGGACATATTTGTGTATGATGTCTGAAAAGAAGGAATAAGCATTCTCAGGAATCTGTGATTAATCACAAATATATTGGCGTAAAATTGGGCAAAACTAACACAAATATACACCAACACGGTCTCTGGAAATCAGGAGTACAACTGATTGTTACCTGGCATGTCTTCAATTTGCCGGCAGGAGAACGGTCACCCCAATGGTTAATCGTGAACAAGTTGGCCTCATTATATTGTATTATATTATATTGTATTCAAGCTTTAGAGAGTTATACATAAGCGTTCAGCCAAAAAATAGACCACCGGTACAAATCTGGCAAAAACAGGGGGAAAGTGCGATGTGAAACGTACAAAAATATGAGTTAATTACTAAATGCATTAGAAAGCTCAGAACGAACACTTTTCTTGTCTGTCAGTATCCGGGCAAGATAGGGTACCAAAGAGTTTCTGTATGCGGATATGAGAGACCGGATAAGTTTGTACTTAGAAAGGGTGGAGGGGTGGGATTTGCATACACACAAGTCAGTGTGTAGAGGATGGGTGCAATCAGATAGGACATTGTCAGCAAACTTTAAGCATGCATCAATATGGGCATTACAGATATTGCCAATCAGAACAGATAACGGAACTCGGGAGACACGGTTGATCATTGAGATCCCACGCCTCAGCAACTTGAAATCAGCCTTCAACAAACCAGGGGAAATTACAGAGGAGCAGTACAGGGGTATAGGGAGGACAAAACGTTGAACGAAAGCATTTATCATCGACGAGTCCGAACAGAAGTGGCGCAGTCTTCTTATCTGAAAAGAGAATCTTTTCAACTTGCAAGCAACACTTTGGGTATGTAAGGACTTTCAAGTGTGAAATGGCTGACCCTGCTCATCCACTTTCCATGAATCTCATCTTTTTTTATTAAAAACCTAGGTGTGATGATTAGCAGACGGGGCAAACCCCATAGTCACGAGGACCTGCTGTTCAGTGGTTGAAATCGATAGCCTAAGCCCCGGAACTTGGAGTGGCGAACCACCAGGCCCCGATAGGTTAGGCGTTGTATTGAACCGGACGNTCAAAGTACGCCGGTGACAGCGACTAAACCACTGCGCCACCACCACATCTGATCAATAAACGACTACGGCTAAGCGGCGGTGGTGTACGAAGAGGTAGTGGGTTACTGTCTGTCTAATGACTTTGCTATGAAAACCCACAGCTCTCATAACAGCACTAAGATGGATGCAAGCGTGGCCTGCCATCAAAGCCAAAGCTCCTNCATGGCAGTATGGTGGTTAAGAAGCGACGTACACAGACCGAAAAACGGTCATCAGTCCTTTCAGTCCAAATGGGCACGTAGAACGTTCTGGAAGGCAGACGAAATACCATCCAATTCTGCCTGCTGCCCAAAGTTCGCATTTGGATATAGAACGGTTTGTAGTGCACCTTTGTAGAAAACGGGATGCTGCTGGGGTGATCGCTTCGTGATGCATTCGCTAGACACTCCACGGATTTCGATACCATAGAAACTGACTCATCTTCACGCAGCAGATAGTTGTGTAAAAACAAAGAAGCCACGCAACCAGTTCACAAAGTTTATCACTACAAGTTGATTGATCCAAACACAGCGGTTGCGGCAATGACCTGCTACAATTGAACAGCGCACCCGTGAGAATCAGACTAATTTTAGACCCGGTCGAGGCTGTACCGACCACATTCTCACTCTTCCCCGAATTCTGGACAAACTCCGACATTTTCCCGTAGACCAGCCAGTTCTGTCTTCCTGAATATGAAAGCGGCCCACGACTCACTCGAACGCTCTAAACCCTGGCGCTACCTTTCCCTGAAGGGTGTGCTACAGAAGTCTATTTCAAAATTACAATTCCTTTAAACAAACAAGTTTTTGTGCGAGATCACCAAGGGAAGCGGTGTTCGTCAGGGTTGCCCCTCTTCATCGTTTCTATTTAACTTAACGTTATAGATTAGATACTGAGCGGTTTGAGTGTTAGTGTAGCCATATTCGACATGCGATTTGTACCTTCAAAGTGTAAAATGTTTCTACAGTACACAGTAGGTCCAGCTCGCAACCTCACTCTAACTTGAGAAATAACACAGATAGTGAATAAATTCTGCTATCTAGGCAGCTACATCTCACCAGATGGACACATAATGGATGAAGTGTCGGCTTACATACAAAATCGGTTGTTATTTGCTTAATTAAAACATCTTTGACGCCCGACGCGACATTCGGCTGTCTGTGAAGAGTTGAGTGCATGCTGCCAAAGTTCGACCAGTTTTGCTTTACGGTGCAGAGACTTAGTCATTAGGAAAACAAGAAAAAGATCGACTGCCGGTGTTCAAACACCGATGTCTGCGTAGTATTGCGCAAGTTTGGTGGGAAAACATAACAAACAATGCTGAGGTTAGGAACAGTTTTAGGTAACCGTGGTCGTTCACTGGAGAAAGTGGTCAGTCTCCATATATTACGTTGGTTGGAGCATGTGTTACTCAAGTCACCAAACAGATTACCACGGAGCGAGAGGTTTTTGGAGGAGACTGGCTCACATAGGCTTCCTGAATGGGGACATCCGGATCAGTGAAACTGATCGTTAGAAACACTGAGTGATACGGCTGGGTGCTGTAAACAGTGGTGCTCGTTTACCTATTCAATTTCCTTGTAACCTTAGTCTTGATTAATTCTCTATTTTCACCCTGTCCGGTGCAACAGCAGACTTCTATTTACGTTCAGCCGCGATCAAAGCTACCAGGTTTGTCCATAAATGTATGTGGTACTATAGATGAATACCAGTGATATGGTACTCCTTATTAGCATCGAGGGATGCCGGATGTGATTAAACGGAACTGGCGAAGAAAGGGAGTACATGCACAAGTGTTATTGTTTGTGACACGCAACCATACCCCTCAGTGTGTCTGATCAGATGGCGAGGTCCCTAAAGGGGAATCCCGACGCGACCTATATGTGTACGTCCCTTGGTTGGGGCTTTCATGCCACATTTTAACGTGACCAGCTTTCGTCTTTTTCACTCACTCTGAGCCTCGGTAAATAACACACCGAGGAAGTCTAACTGGTGGCCTGTGGATCAGACTCCGGTCAATCGCATTTTCGAGAAGCGCCAGATCTTGAAAAAATAACTGGCATGTGGTCTCATTTCGACAACAAATTATAAGGAAATTCATCAATGACATCATTTAAAACTGACCCTAAACTTATCTGATATGTGGCATACAGTGTGAATAATCCAACAATTGAGCCTCTGCCGAGGAAACCTTATTTACTGCCTTCACGTGATTGAGGTGTTTACCCACCAAAGTGAGAAGACGACAAGCTAATATCCGGGCTATAACCGGGTTCGTGAACCATTAGTAGTTTACCAATGGGCATTAGCTAAAAGCCCTGATTCCAAAACAACCAAGAAGCCCAGGAATCACACCTACCCAAATCCTTTTGGTTGTGGCAGTGGTGATGGACTCGATTGGGCATCACGGTGTATTCGGCACCTTGGAGGTTTGACCCCGTCTATGATCATATGAATTGAGCACCGGCCCCCAGCGGACTGCACACCACTAAGCTGCCTCGTTTGTCAGACTTTGGCTAGTCGAAGGCTCTGGTTGTGAATGCCCCCAGAAATCATCTGTTTTGGTCTGGACAATCTGGCAGTATCGCGCCCACAAGCAAACGATTATGTTCCATGTCATCGTTATCATCATCATCATCATCGTACAGCGAAAGGCAGTAAAACGCGTTACACTGATCGAGGCATAGGGACTTATTTTGAAGGAGGGGGAAAGAACTTGAACCTATTTGACCGACACACAAAGGATACAATCTGACTGTGCATTATGAGCATATTTAAACAGTCCCACGGCGCTCATATTGAGAACATTCTTCAGGGTCTCAAACCAACCAGTTACGGAGTCATTTGGACCCCGAAATTACAGATGAGAAACACCTACTCCACCTAATAGCTCTGTGCATTGTATCCACATCATCTGTTGACCTCCAGATGGTTTCCTCGAACCCGGAGTAGTTATATCGGATAGGGCGCGGTGCCTTAAACAATTGCCGGGCCTATCGAACAAGAGTCCTAACCAGTGAAGCCTTGTGATTTGAATTAGATGCGATAGCGAATTCGTCTTCGCTACTCAAACGTGTGCAGACTTGACTGTGGCATTTTGTCAATCAAGCTGTTTTCAACTGATCCTTGTTTTTTCCATTAGAATATCCAATCAAACAACAAGAGCATTTAGAAGAACTGTAAAACAATGAAAAAATCGCACTTATTTCAAAGAACTGCGTTTTACGTTTTTTTGGCTACGCAACAAAATAATTAAACTTACTAATTTCATTATCGATCTCCACCATCAAATTATTGGCCTCCACAATGCATTGATATTCCGGATCAGATTCGACGGGACCGTGAATTTTGTCTCGTTTCGCGCGCTTAGAAAAGTAGTCCAAATCTTCCATGACTTTATTTAACTGGGGCGAGAAAAAACGGGAGAGAGAATAAATGAGCTTACTGACACGCGAAGCAACAAGGCGATTGAGTGTGACGAAATGCGAACTTTACGCGGTGGGGGAAGAGAGCAGTGAGCCGTATTTTACTGTTCCTAAGGTACCAAAACGTGGGTCTTCTCTTCTTGTGAACAAAGATCGTAACATGTAAGGAAACTCTGCATTTGCAGAAATTCTCATATTTACTGACCAACGCATGTAGTTTACTAAGCAAGAGAGAGAGAAAGAAAAAAGTAGGCTCCAAAGATGTGTGTGTTCCAAACGCAATGTGGTTGTACGAATAAACTGATAGTGACCACTGTTGTACAGGTTTCAATGGCATCATTCTGACCACGAAATCAATTTGGGCGAACGATATCCTACACAACCCACCCCCAGACTGAGATCAGGTCCAGGAATCACTCACACAATTAACGGCCAGTCCAATGAAAGTGAAATCTTCAATCTCAATTGCAGGAATTGATCGCAGCCCATGTACAACCCCACCAGAAGACGGGACTTTCAATCGGGCTGCCGGCTGGAACGGAAAATCTCCATGTAGATCAGGACCCGCCTCGGCCCTATAGGACTAGACTGGGACTAGCACAACAAGACCAAACCCGGATTAGTGCCCTCGATTTTTGACCTCATTATACATCGGAGCTTCGGTGTCACAGGTCTAGTTTCATTACAGAGAACGAATCACCCACCGATCTGTTTCAAATTTCAACCGGTAAAATTTCACAAACTGGACATCAAATAACCGCGTTTAAACACAAAAAATGTAACTGTCAGAACACCAGTAGGTCCACCGACGATTCACAACGGAGCGATGGCCCCAAATTGAAGGTAATGTGCCGATAAAACACACTAGTACCGGAGGAACGAGGTCGTAGCTTCGTCCCAGAGTTCTTTCGGAACAGGAAAAGCAACAGCATGCTGTGTAGGCATTTGCTTAACAATCGGGAAAGAAACCAGATGCAATTCCCAAAGATAATTCAGATTTGAGCAGGCCTAATTATTCTCAGGAGAAAAACAAATGCTTACTTGAATTCATAGATAACGTTTTATATGTGAACGATTAACTTATTGCCAAGGATGAAAACATTGCACAACCTTTTAGATGTCCTTTTCAAGGAGCTTTCAGACTAGACAGGATGAAAAACCAGCCAAGCTCAAGCTGCTCCAATGAGATGACGTTATCCTCCGGTAACAAGCAGCGGTGGTTTAAAACACTCTATCCCTTCGAATCCCCTGCTAGGAAAGACCTTCGCACTGCCCTACAGTGGCGATGTTGCGTAGACAGTAGTTGTCGAAGACTGATAGTCGCTGGACGTGATCTGCTCGGAGAGGCCAGGTCTCGCAGCCATAGAGCAACACGGTGCGTACCGTTGCGCAATGGACACGTTCTTTCAGTGAAAGGGATAAGTCGCGCCGGCGCCAGAGATGACGCAGATTAGAAAACGCGAATCTAGCTTTGATCACGCGTTGAGGGATCTCCTCGCCCACACCTCCAACAGCCGTTATGCAACTCCCACGGTAGACAAAGCTTTTGACTACTTCCAGAGTATCATTATCCAACGAAAGTGCAGGAATGGGTTCCTGCCAATCTTGCAACAACATTTTGTACTTTGAAGGTGCAAAGTACATACCAAAGTGAATAATCTCAATTGCCAAACGGTTCAACGACTCTTGAATCGTTGGCGTGTTGTCGCCCATTAAGGCAATATCATCGGCATGCTCTAGGTCTACGACTCTGTCTCCAGGGAGGAGCTCGACACCAGCGTTCGTTACGTTATGTAACGCGTTTTGTAGAACATCATCTATGGCAAAGTTGAAGAGAAACGGAGAGATAGGGCAACCCTGTCGCATCCCACTTGTGACAAGAAATGAGGGTGAAAGTTCACCATAAGCCCTAATCTCTCGCGAGGTCTGGTGATACAGCGCTTTTAGGAGTGAGACATACTTCTCCGGTACTCCGTATCTCCGCAAACAGTTCAACAGTGCAGGACGATCGATAAAGTTGAAAAACACGACAATGGTTTGCCGTCTGTATGTGTGGCGGTGTTCTAGTAGCAGACAGGGGGTGAAGATTTGATCTATGCAGCCACGGCGTGCACAAAAACCCGGCCTGCTCCTCGCGGATTTGCTTCTCACGGAATGGGCATAACCTGCTTAATAAAACGGATGCCAGCAGCTTCGGTGCTATTGAAATCAGATTTACGCCCCTGTGGTTGGAACAGGCGTTGAGACAGCCCTTCTTGTAGATGGGTGTGACAATCGATTCTCCTCATGTTTGGGGTACACTTTCAGTTGCCAAGATCTTCGAGAACAATCTCACAAGTGCTCTTACGAGAGCTTCTCCACCAGGTGGCAGACCGTCTGATCCAGCTGCCTTGTGGCCTTCAGGGTTTGGAGTTCCTTTCGGATCTGTGGACGGTTCTGTGAAAAGTAGGATTGGAAAGAGACGTTAATCGGATCACTGAGCTCGGATCCTGGATGCGTGTTTCCGAGAGGCAACACACATCAATCTCTAGACTTTCGAGCGTACGAGCCAAACCTGCTTGTTGTCCTATGCGCATTGGAGTTCTTACGTTGAACGAGGCCAGTTTGAACACAGAGTGTGGTCTGAGGAATGGAACGGTCGGTTCCGAGACAGATTACATGGAGGATAGCGACGAGCAATAACATGAACCTACGTAAGTGGAACAGTTCGGGGTGCGACAAACAGAGGAAAACAGAGGGTATTGCGTGGGGGGCAGATAGAAGTGCTGCGTGCACATTTTAAGAGAAAGCTTTGAAGAAGTATAGTATTCTGTGGCATACGTAAATGTGTATGTTCTTAAGTCCATAGTTAGTTTGTGGGCGTGGTACCACCCGGTTGCCCAGGCCAAGGTAGAGAGTTTTCTTAGGGAACCCTACCCGGAGCCTTTGGTTAGAGAACCTTACGAACAAGGCAGTGGGGTGGATTAGGGAGTCCACGATCCTCTGGGAGCCGATGACTGCGGGACCAGTTCATACGCCTTTTGGATGCGGCCAACTATCCAGGGTACCTAGATTGCCCTTGAGCCGCGCTTTGGCCGGTGAGCATCAAGGTGGTCAACTCCAAAGATTAACTTTGAAGACCATTTCGGTTGCGTCAAATTTGGGGCCACTATGAGTTTCTTACGCCAGGTGTAGTTGGTTTGGAATCAGGGTTTGGCCAACTTCCTTAGACTGTCTACCGGTGGAAAGCGCCGGGCGTTCTTCTTTGCCCTCCCACTTTAGTGGTAACACCTCCGCCATGAGAAGTCAGTGGGTAGGACTTCCTCAGCAGGAGCTGTTTGAGACGCTTGGTCGTTTGGGAGCATTTCTAGATGAGTTCGGACTAATGGCCGGTTCGGAGCCCGAGACACCCACTCCCGACCATACTGAGGCATTTGGAGGGGCATTCAAAAATAAAGCTTATCTACTCGTTGTTTAAATGGAAAAAGATGATGGTTATAATGCTGACGATGGTGGTGGTGCTGGTGGTGGGACGGTTGGTGATAGGGAGCGTGTATGACTTAATTTTAATCACACAGTGAGTACTCGCTTTGTCTATTTAAATTCTCATTCATACCACAGATTTCGTATTTATTTAAAAATCGGACGATTCTAGAAATTTTATCAATTATATTGGGCGCTCGTGAATGACGCGCTCGATGTACTTTTATTTTGGTTATTTGTCTTCTCTTTGAAATTTTCTGATCGTTAGCGAACTCCTCAACAGATTCCATTGACAATTCGTCGTGTATATGGCAAATGAAGCGTGAACTGAAAAGCTCGGAAGCACTGGACAGCTGTTTCGACCTGGTTGGGTCTCATCAGCAGTGCGAATCCATCGACCCGACTGGGGATCGAACCCGGGACTTCATGGGCAGAACGCAAGCGTGCTACCCACTACGCCACCGGGCAGCTGATCAGACCGTTTTTCATTTTCCATTTACACGATATAGCACAACCCATCTTTGAGAGTTTGTTGCGGGCCACGGACCCTGCTCAACTCAGCACTAGCCTCCAGGGTTATGACTTGGTTGGAAACATTCACAACCTGACTGATTATTTCATGTGGGTAATGGAGGATTTGGTTAAGTTTCAAATGACAATTCGTCGTGTATATGGCAAATGAAGCGTGAACTGAAAAGCTC